ACATAACGAGATCCTCACATATCCCAACAGCTCCCACCGGGGTTTCGCTCTCCACTGCTCCAATTCAGTTTTTGGGTCGTTGGTGAGTCACCCGTGAGGTTGTCCGTCCCCCACACTGCGGCGAGTCGCCTTCTCCAAGTTGGCTGTGACGGGTGTTCGGGGTCCATTGGCACGCGGATGATGGGTCGTGGTGGGCTCCGGTTGCTGTCGTCAGCAGTCTTGGCCAAGAAAATAATTTGGATTAGCCATGTTCCTTTTTCTACCCGGGTCAGCGGTTTGGTTGGGTCCTCCGGTGGTGGCTCCCGTCTCTGTTTTAGGCAATTTTGCGGCCTTCAGTTTGTGTTGGGAGTGGAGTTAGATACGGGTCTCCAGGTGAGGTTTCGCCGATGAGCACTCGGTAAGTTGTCGGTTTCTTTAGTTGTGTTCGGTCAGTTGACTTGCTTTAGTTTCGAGGCGGTTGCGTAGGTTTTCATTTGAGTGGTGCTGGTCCGAAGTGCCTTCGGCTGGTGGGGAGGCTCATAGGTTATTTTGTAGTTTGTTTGTGTTTGTGTCTTTGTGTGTTGTAGATTTTTGTGTTTTTGTATTTTTTTCTTGTTGGGAGCACGTGTTTCTCCACTTTGGGAGCGTGTTTTTCTCAATTTGTAGGAGCCTTGGTGGGTTTGTTGTTCAGCGTTATTCTAGTGTTGTTCCTATGCGACCTACAGGTATGTTCTAGTGTTGTTCAGCACGTGCTTGTTCGGTAATTATTTTCGCTATCCGCAAGTGTACGGTGTAGCTATATGTAGTGGCGAGCAAGTTCGTATTCCACAGAGATTGTAGTTAAATTAATTAAGTACTAAAATAATAACGATTAAATATTATTTAGACTAACGAATGAGATGATGATTTTAAACTATGAAATTAATCTAAGAACTAATTTACCTAAAACAATAAAAATAAATCAAGATATAAAAGATAGATTCTAGGTTATGCTTTCCTCGGAATTAATTTATGAAACGTTTATATTCATACAAACCTTATTTAATTTTACCAATCGTAGAGATAATCGCTAAATTGATTTCAACCTTTCTCTCGAACAAGCAAATCGTAGATTTTAATTGTTATCTATCTCCTCTCGGTCTCAAGATGAACAATTAACTCCCATAAGTTCCTAGTATTTTCGTTCTCTCGCAATCAATTTCTCGGTCTGTTTATTCTCTTATGTTAAAATCTCTCAATTTTAGCAGTCAATTATCTCCAGAAACATGCTTTCAAAATAAATATAAAACATAAAAGATTGAGTTCGAAAGAGGAAAAGAAAAAGAAAGAAAAAGCTTATTCGCCTCGTCGATCCCTTCTTCCTGGGCTTTCTCCCTCGTCTTGCTCGTGTTTCTAGCCTCCAAAAGTCTCCAAAAATCAGAAAATTAGGTCTAAGACTCGCCAAAAATGTGTCCAAGTGTTATATATATAGTTGGGGTCGAGTCCTAGTCAAAATAGGTCGAAATATCCCTAAAAATCGTAAAAACGAGTTAAACCCGTCTATGTTGCGCCCAGGGTCACACGACTCGTGTCACTTGTCACAGGATTCGTGTGGAAATGTCGACATCACATTTCGGGACCCGTCGGAATGACACGAGTCGTGTCTTGGGCCATACGACCCGTGTGTACCTGGGAGGCTGAAACTCAACTTTTATGCGCAGCTCTTGCCTCCTGATCATATTCCCGCATATCAGGCGTGTCCAGGTGGTTGAAAATGACGTACAGGTAGTCGGATATGGCGGATTCCGATCGAATTCCGGGCAGCTTCCATGGCCATGCGCGAAAGTGACGAGTAACAGCAGCCTCCGGATTTCAGGCGTCACAAGCGGCTCCAGGTGATCTGGTCGAGCTCTTACCGGCGTCGAGGTGGCTTCGGGACGTGAGATTAACGAGCAGCGAACTTCGGCAGCTCTTCAATGGCGGACGTGCGATCATGCGTGAGGGAAGAATGAAGAATGATATCTTTCATGGTGAAATGACCACCATACCCTCAACTAATATGATGTTGGGCCATATTGTTTGGGCTGCATTTATGGACTATTAAGGTCCGATTTTTCGGCCCAATAAACCCAACAAAATGGGCTATCATGTTGCTCTGGTGGGGCTGTGTACTTGGGAACTTTTTCAATGCATTGCTAGTACTCTTTTTATATCCATTTCACGCCGTTTGTGACTCCAAAAATTATTTGCA